TGTAAATAAGGTTGAAAGCCCTTTGAAAATAGGGTAGAACATCGATTTGTGGCAGACAGGAAATTATGGGCTTGGCTTTCGAGTCGTAAGGTGCTCTCATCCCGTCAGTGAGTGAGTGAGAGGAGCGGGTGGCCAATCACAGCAGCCATCCTACAGCCTCCTCCCCCAGGTGGGATCTACACCCTGACATCGATTAAAGTAAAAAAAGCCATAAAAGGGAGGGAGTTTTGTTGCTTCAAGTCAACATTGCAACAACCTAGTACATTACTGCATGATGCGCTACCTACCATCTGCAAGTACAGTCCTTTAGCTTCAAAATGCATGAAAAATGAATGCTGTATCTCAAAAAACAATAAAGTTTTGCATGTTTGAAGTTGGAAAAACTTTAAAGGCGGTTTTCTTGGTTTCAAAGTTTGGCACGAATAACCCATACAATGCAGGGCGCCTCATATGTAATCACTCCATTATTTTACTGCTCTGTATCACTAAAAACAAAAGTCACTGGTGAGGTTCGTCTACACCGTAATTACTAATCATAACAAGTGCAAATAATGTAGTTCATATACAGTATTAAGTTTGGCAACACTGATTATCGAACTCAGCCTCAGTGAATGAAATAACATAACACTATACAGTACAGACTACACTCCCAACATTTTCAACCCAAGACAGTAATTTTAACTGTAAACTTTTACCGAAATAACTATGCCAGGCAGACACATTACACACAACATTAAACCATACCTAAGCACTATAGCATAAAATGGACTTTGTATAGAGTTAATGCTGAAATATTTCAAGCATTATAAGGTGACTGTGCCTCAATGCAAATCACTGGCATGGTGTTAAGAACCATCAAGGAACTTGAAATGTATATCCTATATATTCCTTCAACACAGTAAAAAGCTATTTCCTGTAGTTCACAAGGTGTAAGCTTGCTATTTCTGGAGGTTTACAAGCTTTAAGGAGGCCACTTCCGACAGATTACAGCTTTTTACCCTTTGACATGCATTTTGATTTTGCCGATGGTTCTATAAAGGTGTGTAAAATTTAGCCCTGATAATCCTGTACACTTTGATGGCCAACACTTAAACTTGCATCCTACCAAACACTATTCTAGTTCAGCTAGTGAGAACACTAAGGAAGTCAGCTCATATTTATAAGTTTGATATGACCACAATAATCACTGATTATGTTTTAAATGTTAGCAGTTAAACAAAGACAAGCAAAACATCTTGGTGCACATTGTGGTACAGATATCAGTCAATTACAAGAAGACAAGTTAACACCGTACAAACTTCATAATTATGTGTGAGGGAGTATGGGAGGGGGTCAAAGAACTTTCCACATTCAATATGTGCAACATTAAGTGTTTGCAAAGTCCTTTCTCACTACTGGATTAAATTTAAACACAGGTTTGTATTTAACATACCTTATAGATTAACTACATACAGTACCACAAAAAATTGCTTAAGGAAAGATACTGTAGTGCGATGTGTGTCAAAACCTTCCACAAGACGAATTTATAGTTCAAAAGCTTTTAAAAACAAAATACCTGTATTGAGTATATGATAATACAACACTGTAATAATTTATTGTTTACCAATATTGACAAAATACAGTACTGCTCTGGATAAAAATGAAAATACCTGTCATTCAACTATCACCACAAAAGCTAGCTACAAAATATCAGAACTGCAGTACTGTATATACAGTATAGTGTCTTTATGGAGTTTTATCTGAAACTCAATTTTATTGTATCATATGACATGTTGGTTAAACTTTAGCTCATACAAATCAAAACAAAGTCTATCTCTTTTCCAAAACATATAAAACTAAATTTTTATTTATCCGTGTACCCTGTATATATGTATGTATGTGTGTGTGTGTGTGTGTGCGTAATTCACACGACATTAAAACATTATCTTAATACTATAAGGTAATCTGATACTGTACAGAATATCTTGGCAATGAAACCAAAACTCTTCAATGTTAGTCAACTGTACAGTTGTAACAAAGAGAATTTGGCAAGGAGGGAGTGTAAACTGTGCCTGCCTCATAATTTAACAACAAAAATAAATAAATAAACCAACAAATTTGCCGGGTGGAAAGAAAATTTCAGTTTTAATCACCACCACTTAACAATGTTGCCAAGTCTCCACCTACCCCTACCCTCCCATACCTCACCTCCTTCCCTTCCTGTCTGCCAAGTTCTTTTTGTCCACAACTGTAGTCGACTAGTACTACAATCTGTTCACCTCTCTCTCTCTCTCTCTCTCTGAAGCACAAACCCCAAGACTCAGACTCAAGAATACACAGCATTTATGGACAGAATAATGCATCAGTGTCTGCTGCTTCAGGGTCAGGAGTCTGAATGTCAGGGTTCGTGGTTCAGAGGAGGAGGCGAACAGACTCAAGAGGGGTTAAGAAGATACATATTTTTTACACAAAGTGAATTAGTACGGAAAACTAATATTTTCTGCGTGTGAATAATTATCTCAGGGTTAATTTTAATTGATCTTCTCTATCTGATGTTATATGGCATCTAATTACAGTATTGCCTCATGTGGGAACACTGCAAGAGCATTAAGCTTTGTGGTTTTATGGGACGAGATACTGTATATGTTGACTTGAAAATTATATGCATCAGACACTGCTTGTTTAGTTCACTGCCTATTGGAAGAAAGAAGAAGAAAACTTTGGATAATGTAAAATAATAAAATTTGGGTTCATGAATGAATAATGTTTTAATTTCTTTAACTTTTTACACTGAAACCCAAAGTATAAGCTTCATGTTAAAAAATGGTATGAATTCCTTAATCATGTATTGCTACAAAATGTAAAGTATAAAAATATATACTACTATAAACACAACAAATATAAATCATTACTGAGAGGACAATGGTACAGTTATTGGAGCACCAGAATATTAGACACCCCAGCTTATCTGACCTGAAGATTGATCAGATGGGGTTACGTTAGCATTGAGGTGGTTATCTTTAGGTGAAATAATATAGGGTTGTCTAATTGACAGGTGTCCCAGATATCACTATTGAATTGGTGGTAGTTTATCCACAGATTTGAATGAAAGACTAGACTGATCACCAGATATGTTTTATGAACAAGCTTGAAGACTACATTATTTGTGACTTCTTGTATTCAATGGTAATATATCTAACTGGTATATGCTCAACTGTTTACTGCAATTGCTTGTATTTGATTGATCATTTGTATGCGTCTCCCTTACACATGTGCTGTGATTTAATATTTTCTGCATTTACTGTACAGTACAGTACGGTACTTATTTTTTTGCAAGTGAAACATCAAACCCCTTAATCTTTCATCTCAAAACAAAATATAGCTTCATCACTGATTGCAACCAAGTGGTCTTCAAGAGCCAAGTGCAATGATTGTTCTAGAATAATTTTTCAGATTATGATTGTCTGATAAATGTAAAATTTTCCAAATTCAAGATCCCATATACAGTACAGTACAATACTTCATTTAACCATGGATGGCACAGTCGGAGGCAGGGACCCCTATTAAGCCGTGGGCTTCCTTCCCCTATAACAAGGCCACTACAAGATAGAGTGACTTGGAGCTGGCAGACGCTCGCCCCACAAGAGGGTCACAGATCAAGATTGAAGAATCCGCAAAGTCCAGAAAACTGTAAGGGCAAACTTTTTCGGAGTGAGAGTTGTGAACTCTTGGAACAATCTACCAGAAAGTGTTGTGACGGCACCAAGTGGGAGCTCTTTCAAGAAGAGACTTGACCAACACTGGAGCAGGTTCAGGCACATTCAGGAGCCAATGCATGCCCAGTACCTGCCGACAGTGCGTAACAGAGAGCCAGTACACAACTAGTACTTGCCAACAGTGCGTGACTGAGATGTAACGAGCCGATCAGTGGTGAAGAGAATAAAAGTATAAGATATGTGAGGCTTTTTGTAAATTCTGATGCTTATAGAATACTGTACTCAACCCCTCATTGTCATTTTTTCTTTAGGCAAATATTATCTAACAAAGTTATTTTCTAGATTTTGAGAGAATAGTTTTAACTGGAAGAAATTCTGTATGTATGCAGATTACACCCAACTAACACTTATTCAGAAACTATGGTGAATTACACAATTATTTTATTTCCATGTAAGTAAAAAGAAAAAATTTCACCTTAACTCATTTCTCCTGATGTCCAATAATTCAGGTTTTTCTTTTTCATTCCGCAAATTAATTATCATTAATTATGTAAGGTGATATTACAAATATATTTTCTTGTTTGCAAAATTGTAGAAAGCATCCACAGGTGGTATTCCCCTAGGGTATGGGACTGTCAAAGCATGTGTATGGCTATGATACACACTCCCAACATGTGTAGTATTACAGCCTTACAGGTACAGTTCAGTATTATATCTTAATTTTCTTCTACGTAAATAACAAGTTGCAGTATATTATGAATCACAATAAAGAATTAGTATCAAAACCAGAAAAAATCTTAAATCTCATTAATCATGACAATGTACCAGTAATGTAAAAATAGGATTTTAATTAAAAATTCTTCTGAAATCATTTTTGTTTTCTCCCCTGTGCTAAAGATTGGACTTAGAACAACTTAATTTTCTACAAATTACTGAAGTTACAAGTTAATGTAATAATAATTTGATCTAATTTACCCAAACAAGACTTCAGAGGGCACGATTATGCCTGCCTATAGTATTTGGATTTTATAAAATGATCAAAGATAAGGTTCACAGAGGCAGTGAATGTAAGCACACAACACTCTTGCTCCCCATCCAAACCATGGACTACCTGTACTGTATGTATAATATTGTAAATACCTGTAATGACTTTACAGGTATATCAATTTAAAGTACACATTTTTCTCTTAATATAATTATTCAAGCTACTGTATTTAATTTAACCTGAAATGAGAAAATTCAAATAACTTTTTACTGCAAACAAACTGTACTGTACTTTACTGTATTATATTAAAGAAATAAATCAAGATGATAAATTAAAAACTATCTTAAATCAGTTTCATATTTGATTTTGACATTCAAATCACAAATTCTATCAAAATTTCTTTGTTTACCAAGATGAGAATTCTCTTTGCAAAAAAAAAAATAATGTTGTAATCATCTTTGAAATAAAAAATAAAAAAATAAAAATAATAATACATACAGTATACTGGACTGTGTATCATGAATAAAAAATATATAAAAGAATGGTGTGAAAAAAAAACTGATCATTAGTCTCCTCACGATAGACACGAGTCTGTAGAATCAAGCTCCACGATTCTCTGGGAGAGGCATAATAACTGGCATGACAGGCACAATCACATATTGAACAGGTGTGTGTGTTTGCCAGTGTGGCTCTCCCCCCTGTGAGAGGACCTCAGGACTTAATGGGGGTGAGTTCACAGGTGAACCTGGTAGTGATGATGGTGGGGATCTTGGAGCCAATGCCAGTGTTGATGGAAATCTTACACCACCGGAGCTTACAGCAGGCCGCTTTGACGGGTTCTCTTGCTGTTCAATAGAACGCTTGACGGGTTTTGTTGCTCGTAATGCAGGACAAGCAGGTAGGCCACAGTCAGAACTTTTGCACGATGATACATGCATACGCAAAAGCGTCGAATATACGCGCAGCACAGAACACGAGTGACGAGCGGCTACAACGTGACGACGAACACGACGGAACATCAGGCACACGGGTGTGCAGGATGGTAACTGACATGATGCACTGTGGGCAAATACCTGCAGTAAAACATCCTTTCGACCTTGGTTGGAAATCCACTTTAAGACCTTTGACAGCCTTTCGGCAGCAATTTCACAGCCTTCCTTATCATCCATTGAAATCTGAGACATTTGGTTTTCTCTAGATGGTGTTTCAGAAATTCCTGTTTTCTCCTCTTTTTTTTCATCTTTCTCTGTAACAGCAACATGGTTTGTTCTGACTTCTGGTTCATCAACACTTTCTTTATCCTTTATATTCTTATGTTCTTGTTTACCAGAATCTTCGGGCTGCCTCTCTTCTTGCTTGTAGATATTAAATATTTCATCACTTGTTGGATCCACAGAGTCATTCACAGAGTTAACACTGGCAGTACTATTTTCAGAAGTATTAATTGTAGACTGCGAAAATGACACAGTCGTCTGTTTCAACTGTAATTTGCGATAATGAATCTTCTGATTCCCACGTGGCCCAAGACGGCATTTGATGGCATCTGAAAATAGACTATGTATAAGTCGTGCAAGTACTGGGGTCGTCAGCGCTTCCTTCCCAGTCTCTTTGCAGTGTTTTTGATAAGCTTCTTCAATTGAGCTCAGTGCCACTACACTCAGGGTGGTGTTTATAAATATCAGACTCCGGGAAAGCCACAGTTTGCCATGCTCCATCTTCTGCTGGGTCTCATTACGACTGCCATTCCTAGGAGACGTAACGTGATCTTCACTCTGCTCCTCTTCCTGAATAACAGTTGGCATTTCAATTTTGTCAGATGTTGAACTACCACTTGTTGTATCTTCATCACCAGCTGGTTTATCAAGGCTAATATATTTATCATTATCATCAATAATGACAAGTTCTCCATCACTATCATCATCACAATAATTTCCAAAGGAATCACTTTTCACACTTGATGGTTGTTCAGCGCTAGAGATTGTTGAACCACAAGAAGTATTCTCCACTTCGGTTTGTACTGGATTTTCATTGTCCTGAAACAAAGAAGAAACATCTTAATATACAGGAATGGGTTATAGAAGGCAACAGTAAAAGAGGAGTATCAAGGGGAAGACAACACTACAGTATTATTTTCACAAATATTGCTATTAAAATAAATGGGGAGTAAGTTATTAATACTATACTATACCCAAGTAGATGAGAATTGTTTTAAAAATGTAATTGTGAATACTGAAATACAGTAATAGAATTGGATATGAGTACTGAAACAAAGGGATAAAAATGGAAGTCAAGACCAACTTTACTTAAATTAGTTCAACTGGTCTGTACCACGTGTTTAGAATAAATTAAAGTATCTATCAGGCCACTTGGAAAACTTTATAAATCCTGAATCACACTTTCAACCTCTTAAGCCACTGCTCATGAGTCAACAACTCAACAAGGAGATCTACATGACATTTGGTCACCTCACAAAAGATTCAGCAGTTCATGGAACTGCTTTCAGACCAGCTTTAAGGAGTGTGGTGTTAATATGCTAGAGCTATAGCTATAGATAAAAGCTCCTTCACATCAACCAATATCTTGCTGGTCCATAAATTAGGTCCACTCTGCCCTGTCCAAGCACCATCTAGGTGCAAAGGAACATGTTGGACCTCGAGCTAAGAGAAGAATAAATGGAATGTAGTCACTACCAAGAAGCTTTTCAATCACTTCCCTTACAACAGTAACAGGGCATTTGATGAGCCAACTAACACCACAACATAGCTTGCTGGATCCTTGACACTCACAAGTCTTCCCACAATGACAAGGTGGTTAGCACATGGTGGGGGGAGGTTAAGCTTCAACCAATTTAGGAGATTTACCCACTACCTATCATACCACACCTTGTACAGTCCACCTTCACTAGTAAGTTTACAGGGGGTAGTCATTTAAACATTCCACACATAATTGCATTGAGATATTTGTTTTGATATTGTTTTACTTTGAATCCATAGTATGTTTACTAATGCGAGTTTCCTTCCGTCAAATGTAAACAAACACAGGGTTGCCACACTGCACAAAGCCTGACGAACCCCACGGAAAGTGTTAATACATATGGGTTAATCAATGATCTGAAACAAAAGTAGTCTGGTGTGCAAATCCTGAAAATGCGCTGCTCTAGTGGAAGGACTGGCATAGCTACGTGTTTTTTTTTCCCTGCAGGTCTTTGGAAGATGAGTCCAGTTATTTGTAAAGAAACCAGCAAAAAGGAACATAGCAACTGGTAAGTCTTTGAATCCCTACAACTACCTTGGCACTGACATTAGGTTCTGTAATTATGATTCACTCATCAAATACAGGGACTATACTTTGATAATTCAGAACACTTATCTGCTTTAACAATTTCCCAATAACAGAGACGAAATCACTGAAACAAGCAGAATGATGAGACTGCCAGCAGGGAAAAACTTACGCCTACTGACCCACAAGAATGACCAGGACTATGAAGTGTGAAATACTGTACATCACTGGGATGAAAGAACCCGTCAAGTTTGTGATTCTTCTACAGTGGCTGAAGAGGTTTAAGATGTGAAGTAGTGTTAACAAAGGTGCTACATCCAAGGCAATTCAAGTACTGTACTGGCCTCATTTTAATAAGAATAAAAATTTTCAACTACAGCAATTTACTCAATCACTATTGGTTTCTACTTGAACTAAATGATACAAAAACACTGTGGACTTTAACCATACAACTTAAATTATTATACCGATATATTTCAAGAAATGTAATTGAGACAAATGTATCTCTAGAACTGGTATGTCAAGGCTTACCTGAGATAGTTTGGGTGGTGATGACAGCTGTGAGAAGCATCCCTGGCTTGTCCTGTAATTCTGGCATTTGGTAACCAGCTGCGTTCCGGCACCCACGGCAGCATCAACAGGAGAAGCAGGGTTACCCTAAAGGGTTCCACATATATTAGTACTGTATGACTATTATCATGCAGTAATAACAATATCCATTTGTCAGCTAATAAAAAAAAATTCATTTCTACAAATGTGTGGACCCTTTCACACAAGTAGTCATCGCCTGCTTCACAAATGTTTGATATGTATTTTTTTACAAAGGTGTGTACCAATTTCTCAATGTCATTTCTGTTTGTTCAATGATACAATGCTGTACATACATTAGACCAGTGATGGACCTGTCCACTGCCACAAAGTCACAGACAGTCTTCACTTGTTGCACTTCCTTTGTTTTTTGTAAATTTTGCATGGGATGAGGTCAAGCTGGTGTGATGACAGGGTACAGTACCAGGGATTATGGCTATACTATACTGTACCTTACACACTGTGCTTCTCTTAATAATGGCCATTGTCTTGGGCATCATTTACACTATAGTGCTGTCACACATTCTCAAAATCTTTCCTTAATATTTGTTCCCTATACTGCATGTGTTTTTCTTTTAACATTTCCCTTCTACCCTTTGTTTTATTCTCTGCTATGTGTATGCTTACCAAGATACAGTACTGGTAATCCTCAATTCATAGCTTTACAGGATGTTTTCTTATACACACTAAACAAAGAAGACTTGAGAATAACAAAAATATCAATGAAAATTTAACCGAGATGGGAGATTATGAGCGATTCTATAATGGATCTAATAACATAAGGTAGAAAATATTGACAAAAGATATCATTCATAATATAATTCGAGTCAAGACCTTAATTTAAAGATGTATTGTGCAACAGTTTCATCCACTGGGCTGTATCTAAATACTGTACAATACAGTACAGTACTCTATGTGTGGGTAATTTTTTTTTAAATACTGAATACAGGTACAGTACCTGTACTATGTATACTGTGGTAAAAATGGCTTTATGCATCTATATTCATAATTTTCATGTAACATCTTTAATATAAAAAAAGTACAAAAAATTTATTTCAAATTCTAATGTTCTATAAACTACAACTCAAACCGATTTGTTATTTTAATATTCTATAAAAAATCCACGTTAGTCCCTCCAGTAGGAGACACCAACCTCCAACAGCTGGCCTGTTGATGATGGTTGTAATAAGCACCCCGGCTTCCTTCTGCGAGTCTGGCTTCCAGCAGCCAACGCTCCATCAGCAGGAGCCACAGTGTTCTGCGAGTTTTCCAAATATATATTGTAGTATTCATTCAACTGTTGAAAAGTTGTTTGTGTTTTAATATCCTAAACCTGACTGAACATGAGGCAAGAAAAGTGTTTACCTGTGTCCACATGTGGCAGTCAATACTGTATATAAATACAGTAACTGATCAATAAATGACTACAGTAATGTATAGTATCGATACAGTGGAACCTCTATTTAATGGACCACATGGAAAGGAAGTCCATTAGAGTGAGGTTCCACTAGATGTGAAACCTCCATTTAAAAGACTACAGTACTGTATATGAGGGAGCAGTCTATTAGCTCATGATTCCATTTGATGAGAAACCTCCATCTAACGAACTACAGTAAATACCCATTAGACATTGGTCCATTATATGCAGGTTTCACTGTAGTCACAAACACGTCAGCTAATATTTGAGTATGTTTTCACAGCAACCTAGAGACATTTGTTTTAAATATTCCAAAAATTACCAAATAAAAAGTAATTGGTTTAAAAAGTGTTTTATCTGACACAAACACTTAAACATACACAATATTACACACTGTATAGCACACTTCCCACATGATTTGGCACAAAGAAAATGCACAGTACTGTATTTTGAAAAGATGGATGATTTTACAAATTACAGAAAGGTACTGAATCTTATAAAATAATGTACTATAGAATATTTCCAAAAGGTACCAGAAAACTTTAAGAGAATCTTCGGATATTAATTCCAGAAGGTTCATAATGGTATACAGTAAGTCACTGTATTTATTGTTACTATCAAGTCCACAGCAGGGGAGGGTCCGGGGGTTCGAACTCCTCTTTTCACCAGAAAACTCCAATAGGGTACTTTTTCTTCAAGCAATATTGCACTCAGGCGCTTTTTGTATAGTAAAAAGTAATTATTATTGACCTCAGAATATCTCTTAATATCAAGTGCGCTTGGCTTCAAAATGCCACCACCACCCTCCCCCCCAAAAAATAAAAAAAATAAAAACAGCTGGGTGGGCTTGGTGTCCTCGCCATGTTCCCCCACCCACAACTTCTTGGACTCCCTGTAAAACACTGTACTATTTAGTCTATAAGGTGCAGAATATTTTACAGACATTCCAAAACAAATGAGTGACAGGTTCTGGATAATGAGGAATATTACTAATAAAATAAAATGGTTCCCGCTATCGCCAAAACAATAATACTCGTCTAAGGACCTGTAGTTTTATTCTCGCGTGAACAATTCAAGTTAACTTCTTCATATACATATTGTTATGCTGGAACCATTAATAAATAACAGGTGCCACTTCCCATTAACATTTTGAAGCTGCAAATAATCGAAGGAAATACCCCAGTCAGTTCTTTCAAAGTAAAATCAATTATCATACAAAACTTTGACGTTATAGTTACGAGTGTGCTTCAACAACTGCAGTCTTAACGCGCATTACAAGTTGAGTAATAAACATTGGCCATCATTCTCCCAGTGTGTAATGTGACGGCACCGAGTACTTGCCGACAGCGCCTAACAGACACGTGCTTGCCGACAGTGCCTAACAGAGACATACTTGCCGACAGTGCCTAACAGAGACGTATTTGCCGACAGTGCCTAACAGAGACTGCCAAGCGGCTTACAGGTCAGTGGGTGAGAGGCGAAGATGATAAAGTCAAGTAACAAATAAATAGTCGAGATAGAGCTATGATACACTAAGACTCGTTTCCAACAATAAACTTTCAAAAATAAACCAATAATTGTGTTAAATACAGCACTAGAAGGCCATCTGCGCAACACCGGGAATTTTATGGGCGGGAGTAAAATAATACTCATTTTCTTGCTCTCTGGGGGCAGAACACGTAACTACGCATCAATCGGTCAATCCCTATTTGCTGGCCAGCAATGTTTTTTCTAGCAGTTAACCTGTAGAACATCACAAACGACCACAATAACCAAACACCGTCTTGATAACTACCAATTATGACACCCTATAATGAGCTTCCCAAGGACACATTATAGGAAACCATGACTTCGAGTGGTTGTAATTACCAAACTTAACTAACTGGCGATAACAAAAACAGAAGTGCGTTCGTTACAAAATATGGTGCAATCCCTTGTCGCCCGGGAGGTGCTGAGCAGGGGACGAACTGCGCGCTAAGCCCGTGATCAGTTCCCCTCATCAACCTGTATACAACACCAGGGTAGCCCAAAATGCGTTGTACTTCATATCCGTCTTTAGCAACTTGCTGGTGTAATCTTTTATCGGTAGAGGAAGTACAACACGTGGTGACATAGTGGCAGCGTGTACTGTCGTTACGATATTTCCGCCGTGATTAATTATTTCGATGATTTTCTTGTTTTTGTTTGTGGTGTATACAGATGATTGTGAGAGTTGTTGTTTTACTGTATTAACTATCGTGGTTATCAAGCACAGGTAACCAGCTTTATGCTTCCGCCCGAGTGCGTGAGCTGAAGAGGGAGAAGACTAGCAGCGCCCTTACTGTACCATCACAGCTGCATGACGGCCAGTGCCAGCATCAATCATTCACTGTCATTATCATCAGCTAGACATGCGATAATTTAGTATAATTATGCACCTGGTATCATTTTTGGCTAACTAAAATCAGGATTCTTGAGTTATATTCTACCAAGGTGGCGGTGACTCACTATAATTACTCAATTGTTAACATTCTGAGGTTGAGTCATATTCTTCCGCCGTGGTGATGTGAAAATTGATATATTACCGAGACAAAATGCATATAGAAAAACAACTGTGATTTTCAACGACGTTATTTGCGACAGATCCTAACTACTGGGGTGAAAGATGCGACAGATCCTAGCTGCTGAGGGGTGAGATACAACAGAAAACAAACAATACCTCACATTTTTTTTTTGCTGATAAAAGAAAATACCAAAAACAGTTTTCAATGGATATGAAGCATTTTCTGAGTCACCATTAACCCCAAACTTATTCCATTACTGTATCGCCATATACTGTTTAGCGAATTTAACGCAGGTGGATGTCTAATACCTGTCTTGAACTGGTGTGTGGCAGCATGTGGACAAGTATAGTACCTGTCGTGTATAAAGAATGCTTGTCTATCACTATCATTCTAATATATCAGGCGACGATGACAACCCAAGTGCCTGAGGTCGAATTCACAAACATTCCCGTAACTCAAACTGAACCTCCTATCCATATTTACTTCCCTACATACGTTCCCTCGGTACCAGTTAGAAGACAAAATTGAGGGACTGTATCTATACCTTTTTCAAAATATTAATGGACCTTAATCTTATCCTAAACTAACTTGCAGAGTGAAAGTATGAAGCCAAGGTGTCGTCTCAGTATAGCTCATGTTATTTCTGTACTTTTAGCTAACGACAAGGCTACGTCTCTCATCTAAGGCCATGAGAATTATTCACACTTCGAATCTATGTGAATCAGGACCTTGACTTCAACGGAGTGACAAACGAATACAAATGATCTAATTTACCTATAAGCTACATGAAAATGACTTAATTGAACCCAAAAATACAGATTATACTGAAACAAGACGCGTTTTTTTTCAACTTAAGCACAAAAATTATTGAAATCAGGACCTACTACTGTATCGAGATCAGCTTTAAAACCCATGACCAAAAACCTCACCTAACCTGAGCTCTGAATCCCTCACGTGAGAAATTAAATCTGACTTTTTTTTCTGATACGAGTTAATTTAGCCATGACTACTACTATCTATATATAAATGTCAGTCACCTCAACCTTTACTTGACTATGTGTAATATTTTGCAGGCACCTCCTCTCGCACGCACTCACACACACTAAGCTTCATCAGACAAGCTCTAAATATAGTATGTGAGCCTAATATGTTTGTAGGACCGCTGCACACGATGCCTCTTATCCTGGATGATTCACACTCCTCTACCCACACAAGTGACCACAGATAAGGGCAGCCGCAATTACTCACTACGGCATCATAAGTGTACCCTAGTGTACCCTCTGAAAATACCGACAATATCCTGTAGAGATGCCAGCAACCACTACAGTACCGTAATCTAAGTGGCCAGTTTCATTCCAATGTTTATAAATTATTTCCCTAGACTTTTTATCGTAAACACCAGCGATACTCTGACCCTGATAAAGACAGATAGACAGACAAATAACAATACTGTGATCTTAATATACTCTGGGCCGGGATGTAGGGTATAAACATTGCCACCAGTTATGGGATAAAATTCACGGTTGGAATCTTCGTGAATTGGGACATAGGTGAAGGTATTTAGTCTTCAGAAGGAAATGAGATGTAAACATAATGGGATGGTTTACTACCGAGCAACCAACACAGAAACCTTACATGGTGCTGAAGTCAATTACCGAATTTTCTATAATACTGCACAAGACAAAACATCACCTACCTCATATATTACCCTGCAAACTACAAGGACATTGCGTATCTGTACACCTATACGTCACAACAAAATGATGATCCATATATATTAATGATGCATAAAAACACTATTAACACATACCTATTTTCTATTTGACTTAACGCTTGTAGATAAAGGGGAAGGGTAGTGCTTGTTGGTGGGAGGGTTGGGTTGGGGGCAATTGGAGGGGAAGGAAGGGAGGGGATTTGTTCCTGAGATCTGACCCCCACTCATCAACCTACCATTAAGACGACAAGTGACGATGACAATAGATAAACACTGCTAGGTGGACACTCGGCGGTAATGAATATAATTCCATAAGGTAGCGCTGGACTCTTAGGGGAAAATGGACAGGTATTATTAGAGAAAACGTCAGGGAAATGGACGGTAACTTAAGCATTTTGAGAATATTGTACACTATTTAAGACACCTGATCCGGAAACAAGTGTGCAAATATAAATTATCAATCTGGGAGAATATGATAACGTTTTTTCTTTATCACTGTATTGAATAATTTAACAACACAACAAAGAGGAATACATTTTTTAATTTCGGTGTTAATGTCGCGAAAAAACACCATAACTCACTTA